TATAATATATATTATTATTATTATATAATAATATATTATTATATATAATATATAAATTTTAAATATATATTTTTATTATATATATTTATTATTGTAGTTAATAGTTATAGTTAATAATTATTATAGTTAATAATATTAATAATATATAACATATTTAGTATTATTAATAAGTTTAATTTTTTTTAACAATTAAAAAACTATATAAAATCTTCTTTATTATTTAAAATTTATTAATAAAATTGATAAATAGACGGAATAAATTTATTTTCTTATTCGTTTAGCTCAAATAAAAATATCTATTCAAAAATATTGAACAAAAAGTTATCAGTTGTTTTTTGCATTATACAATTTTTTTTTTGTGTATGTTTGGGGAGGGGAGTTGTAACCATATTTAAAGAAAGAAATTAGATTTAAAAATAATAAAATATATATTCTTCATCTATTCTTCAAATTTTTCTCAAAAATATAGTTATTGACACTTAATTATTATTTGAATATTGTTAGTGCTTAAAATATTTTTTTATACATCTTTTTTAAATAAAAAATTTAAAAAAATCTTTTATAAAAGACGGATAAAAAAATATTCTGATTTAAATTTATTAAAAGAAAGGAAATCAAAAAGAAAAAAAATTATTTTATAGCTTATTTGAAAAAATCGTTCGTTATTTCATAATTAATTATTATATCACGTATAACATAGAAACTATAATATATAAAGACATAATTATACTTTTTTCAGTAAATGTATATATTTTGTAGTTGTCGATCAGTTTCACGCTTATTTTTAATAAAAGGTCAAGAATTTTTATAAAAAACATATGGGAACAAAGTATCGTGCCGAAATTTGCAAGATTAAAAAAAATTATTATATAAGAAAAAATAATATTATTTTTCAATAACCAATTAATAATTAACATTTTATTATCCAAAGGTGAATAAAGAGGAATTCGACGTGTACATAAAAAAATTATTAAAACATGAAACATCACAACCCCTCATCAAAGTTGGCTCGAAATCTCCACGAGAGAATTTGCAGGTATTGAACGAATAAAGAATTATATTAATTTAGATAAAAACTAAGCAAATGTTTTTTATTATTAGCTTTTATATCACGCGACGGATATTTTTCGTAAAGAACACTTTGTTAAACATGACACTGTACGAGAAGAAATCGGTAAAAAGGTGCGTGCGTTGAAAGTAATGAAAATCCAATTACTTAAAGATCTGGAGACTTTAATAGAAACGAAGAAAGAATTGCATCAAACTGCTGAACGATTGGCTGAACGTTATGAAGATATTAAAGATGAACAAGAGAAATTAGCACAAAAGTAAGTATCTCTTTTATTTTTAATCGCATTAAAAAATATTTGCGATATAATTTGAATGAGGGGAGGGGAAAGAAAGGATGCGAGAGAAAGAGAGAGTATATTTTATTATTATATAAATCTATGAATTTGTAGAGCAAAAGAGGTATTACGATTAGTAAATTACAAGGAGCCTTCTATGACTCCTATAGAAAGAGCAGAAGCAGAAGAATTAAGGAAAATGGAAATGAAAATAGAAGCAATGAAAATCAGACTTTTGGATTTAAAGAAAAAATCAGAACAAATTGGACATACAGAGAATAACGAAAGCATTGAAGATAAAAAAGAAATTGTTTTTAAAGATGATCAGGAAAAAATAATCAAAAACACTCTTGGACAAATGTATGTTTTTTTGCGTATCTTTATAAAAATATATTAATTAAAAATATAAATGATAAAATCTATTTTCTTTTATTTCACAGGGCAAAAGATATAAAAGAATTAATTATGGAAGTTAAAAAATTCGAGGAAGAAGTAAGTATTTAAATCGAATGATAAAAAAAAAAAAAAATATATTAATGCTAAATAATTGTAAAAATTTTACTATTTTACTAATTTAAAATATAAGATTTCATACAATAAAAAATGATTTTATTTGCAAAATAATTTATTATACTAGCTATACATTTGTATAGTATTATTATTTAGCCACATTATTAATGTAAAGAATACTTCCAAGAACTTCTCGCGTTGAAGAAAATCTTTTTTAAATATTAATATAGAATTTATTTAGAACATACACATATATCAGTTTTAATAAAAATAAAATCAACATTAAACAATAAAATATTAGATAGAATATCCTTATGTTATCTCAATTTCAAATAAATTTATCGAATGTGCAAAAAAATATACAAAAATGAGAAAGATAATAACTTAAAATCTTAAAGTAGAATAAGTCAGTTGTTTAATAATAATTGAATAAATGAGAAAAATATTTCTTTATAATATTTTTATCATTATGCATTGGTTGAAAAAATTAAAATTGTATTTTCAAAAATTATTTCCGTATAATTTTTGATAATAGAAAGAAAAAAATCTTAACAATGTGTCTGCCTATTATAATCACATTTCTTTGACCAATTATAAATATTGCTCAAGGTACAAAAATATAATGAGAAACATCGTTAGAATCTTCCATAACTTTTGATTGCAGCAATTTAATTTCGAGCCTCAATTTCTCTTTTTCCATTTCTTGTTTTCGTATCTCATTCGAATAACAATTCATTTGTAACTTTAACTTGTCCTTTTTAAGTTTTAACATTTCAGTTTCATGATATAACTTTCCTTTCTCTGCACGAAGAACTGCTAGTTGTTCCTGAAGTAATTGAGCACTAGCTTCATCTGAAAATATTACTTCAGGTGTATCGACATCCGGTTTCACTGTTGTCGTTGATTTTGAACCGATTATTTCACTCTCAGGTTCACTATCAGGCTCTGCCTCAACATTTGTAGCTTCTTTCATGATCCATATTCTAGAATCTGCAGTTTCATCAAAAGTATTTGATGGTGATTTTACTGGTTGTTGTTGCGATTGAGGTGTAAGAGACCTAGTAGTTTGTTGTTTCGGAGATGTAGATGTTCCTTTTACTTTTTCCATATTAGTCGTAGACGCGATGGTTTCAATATCTAAAATCAACATTATTATTATTATTGTTGTTGTTGTTGTTGTTGTTATTATTATCATTATTATTATTATTATTATTATTATTATTATTATATCACGAATTCTTTATCCTATATAAATATTAACATAAACATTGTTATCACAAATCAATTCATATTACCTCTAGTATTAGGAGATTGACTACCATCTACAGTATGTGACAAATGATTATTACAATAGGTATTAAATTCTCTTTCATCTACAAAAACAGAACCATCAGCGTTTACGATGGATTCAACAATTACAGATGGATCTCCATCTTGCATTACTAACTCCCCTACAATTTCACCATTTGCTGCTATAATATCCCCATCATTATTTGCCCTTAATAATTCTCCTTCTGTTGTATCAATTTCATCTACTACTTCTTCTTGAGTTAATTGACCGCTATAGGAATCATCACCGTCATTTCCTTCGCTTACTTCTAATTCGGTTGGTAATCCCTGAAAAATAATTTTTTTTTGTTTAATTATTATGTATTATTAAATCTTAAGAATTAAATCTTACATCTTGTCCCCAAGGAGATTCTTGTTCCTTTTTCATCCTTTTTATCGTCTGTGCAATTTCATCTTCAGATTCAGAATACATTTTCCTATCATTATTTTTACCTTGCATTTTCTCTATATCATGAATTTTTTTAAACAATTGATATGCTCTCTCAGGTGTTATATTCCTCTTTTGTTTATTGGCTGCTGCTATATTAAATAAATCTTTGGATCTAAGTATTTTGTTTGTTCGTAATCGTACATATTCTTTCAATCTTTTACGATCAATATGTAACTGCATGAGATCTTGTACTTCTTGTTTAATTTCGCCACATAATTTTCTTTCTTGTGGAAGATTCTTAAATAATTCCTAATTAAAAGGAATAAAATAGAATGAAATATTATATATATATATATATATATATATATATTGAAATATAAAATTTCAAATTAATATTATCTTATTATTATTATTTACCTCTGAAATTTCATGATTATGTTCATTATTGACACTAGTTACCTCTAATTTTGTACCATCTTTTGATGCTCTTAACATAATATGAGCAGGACAATTTGTTCTTATCGATCTAAGTGAAACAGTGATATTTTATAAATATATATTTAAAAATACGCTTATTTATATATATATATTTACTTCAAAATAATTATAATAACACGATCTAATGTAAATGACGTATAATTTTATAAACTAACTGAGACTGTCTTCTGCCAGCTCCACGAGGTAGAAATTTTTGACCACCATAAATACAAGCATATTTGACCGAATAATATTTTAAACGCTCGCTAATGGGACGAGCAGTTTTCATATGAGCTCCGCTAACTGTTCTACTATCTCTTCTCCAATAGTGAACTAGGCTACGCTTTGAAAATTTCTCCAATTTATGTTCCAATTCTTCATAACTATCAAACATTTCCCCCAAATGGAAAGATACATCTTCATCTTCCACAGTATTTATATCCATTATAAAAGATACAATTAACAATCTATTTTATAAATCATCATGTATTATTTATTAATCAAAAAATGTATATGTATATATATATATATATATATATAAAATGTATAAAAAAAGTTATAAATATTCTATAATTTTCGTATCGTTTTATATCGTTACATATTAAATGTCGCAAAAGCGAACATTTATCTGTTAAAATAACTAAATTTGATTTTATAATCTGTAAAGACAAAGTACGATACATTAAAAATAAAATGAAGGTTAGAATACATCGGGACAAATAAAATAACATCATTAAAATTTTTGTTTGCATTATTATTTAATTCGACTTCTATTAATGAAATAAATCTCGCGATAATAATACAATTCGAAGAAAAGCATTGTTTTTCTTATTCAAAACTTTAAGGTTAGATTTAAATTTGATTGGCGTGGTAGAAGCCAAGACGATGAAACCGTGAATACAGCCAGATAGATTTACTCAAGAGCCGGACAAAGACGGGCGGGATTTTTTGTCTCCTACTTATTTTCAATCTTTACAGTATGCGACTTACGTCCTATCATATTTTCTGTAGCATTCCTTCTTGCTTTTAATGTTTTATAATATTCAATTGTCACGAAAACATGTACCTTGATTTTACGCCATTTCTAATAGAGGACAAGTGACTGAACTACAGCGCAACTGTTGTAATTTATTCTCTATTCAAATATTTTTTACATTTCATATAATTAAATCAAGATTAAAATAATTCGTTTACTTTTCTCATGTAAATAAATTCATCTACAATTCTTTAAATTGATAAAAGTCGTATAAATTGTTGTATGACGTAATAACCTATCATTTAACATTACAACAAAAAACAAATTACCAATATATTTAAAATAATACTTGTTAACATGTGTGGAGATATATATATACACACACACACACACATATATATATATACATAATATATATATATATATACATTATTATTATTATTATTATTATTATTATTAAATTTATAAATATTATTATATTAATTTTTCAAAAAATTTTATGATATCTTTAGAAGATTTATAAATTTTTATAAATTATATATAAATTTTATTTTCATTGAATAAATTTTTATTTGGTTTCAAAATTTTTCGTAACGAAAAAAAATTATTAATGTAACCAATCATTTTCATACTCATTATCTATAGGGGGAACAGGGGGTGGTTCATTTTGCAATACAGAAGATACCTACAGAAAAAATATTTTAAGATATATATAAAATTTTATAAAATATGTAGAATTAAAAATAATTATATTTATATTATATATTTTTTTATACCTGTCCAAAATTAGAAATTTGTGATTCTGTATTGCATATTTTTAGATCATTAGTTTCTGTATTATTAGAAGAAGATAATTCTATTTTAATATCACACATATCATTCTCATCAGTATTATTTAAAACTTGTAATGTAACATTCTAAAATTATATTTTCGTTAAAAATTATAATAAAAAAAAAATCATACATTATAAAAACATTTATTTATTGATATATATATATATATATATGTATCTACTTACCTTTATTGTACTTGCTATTATTGTTTTTATATAATTTACAGAATAGGACTCATCTACAAATTTATCCAATAAAGTGTGATAAATTTTATTCATTATTTGTTTGATTTCCTTGTTCTTATTATCATTCTAAGAAATATAATTACAGATATAATTATAATTAAAATATCTCGGAAATAAAAAATGTCAAATAAAAATATCCTTACTTCTTTTAATTCTTTAGAATCTGTAATTTTTTCAGTAGTACTACATTGTTCGGAAAATTTAAGCACTTTATCTTCCAATATTGTTATTTCTTCTTGATATCTGCTATTAAGTTCTTTTGTTTCTTCCAAATTTTTTTTCATATTACAAAATGCAGTATCGGAATCTTTTAGAGATGCATTTAACTCTTTAATAATTTTATGCAAGTTTTCATTATCTTTTATTAAAGATTCTTTTTTAACTTCAAGATCTTTTACTTGTTCTGTACAAAATATATTTAATTTACATATATATTTTAACGCACTAATAACACAACTAATAATATACAAGTATTCATATTACCTTTTGCTTGTTTTAATTCTTTTTCCAATAAGCTCATTCTGTCTTTTATTTCATTTAACTCTATAAAACTATCACTAGTCATGTCAATATTTTTAGATAATTGACTATTCTTTTCTCCAGATGTATCCATGGCTAACAACATTTTCAAAGTAGCATCTAAAGTCGTTTTATCTTTTATAGGAGTTGTAGCATTTTGAATTTCAAAATGATGAAACTATAAAAGATATGTAATAATATTTTAATAAATAATATATAATTTATTCGATAGAATATGTACCTTATCCAATAATTTTTGTACATTATCAGCTATTTTAGACATTCCCATTCTGAGTTCTGCATTTGTCATTCTAGTTTCAGACAATAATATATTTAACCCTGGATCTATTATTGTTGGTATTGTTGAAGTTACAGTTTGTGATTGTAATGAATATATCTGACCATTCAAAGTGACAATATTTGGCTATAATAAATCTAAATATTAATTTTAAAGGATGCTAATTATCGTTTATAAATCAATTTTTCGAAAAAAATTTAATTTATATACTTGTATTTGTGTGGGAGACCATTGAGGAGAAGTAAATACAGATGAATTAACGAAAGATTTACAAGGAGCATTCGTCGTCGATATTTCAGTTTTTAATTTTGATTTCTTGTGTGAATTTTCCACTGGAGAATGTTTCTTTTGGAATTCTTCTTCTGACGATTCTATCTACAATGAAAAAAAAAAAAAATCATTGAATTATTGAAAGATAAATTAAATTAAAAATATAAAATTAAATTATAAATATGTTGATTAAAATATGTTGATTAAATATATTCACTTACTTTCTTTTGAATTTGAAATTTATTCGATACATCATCCTACAAATGTATATCTCATTATTTTTAATATAATTAAAATATATTTAATGATTTTATTCAATTACACGCATATTAATTAACACAATTAAATTAAACTTATACTTGAATATACCTCAGTATCTTCAGAATCTGTAGTGGTAGATGTAGGAATTTTTGGTAATATAGACTGTCCCATTTTAGCCATTCTTGATATAATAGAAGCTTTACCGCTTGTAATTGTATGCGAATGGACAGTTTCTGCAGGTGATTGTATATCCATTACTTCTACTTCTAATATAATATCTTTTTCTTTAGGAAATCCAGGTCCCAAACTAATCTGTAAAATAATTATATTTAAAATATGCATATATTCATAATTCATTGATATTTGTTAAAAAATTTTCATGTAAAACCTGTTTATTGGGAGGTACAAATAAAATTCGTTTTAATCCTTTATTACTTTCTAAAAAAGTTCTTTCCCAATTATCATCCATAGATATTTCTACCGTCATTGTTTGAAATGTTGTAGGAATGTTTTTAAGGGGTTGTGTTATTTCTGTTACAATGAAATATTTGATAAATACATTATCCCCCTCTCTTGCCGTTATATCTTTATTAGCAGGTGATAAATCCTGATAAAGTACATTTTCTATTTTTTTATTTTCTGAAAAATATCGAGCTAATCCTACTTCTTTAGCAAATTCTATACAGACATCATTATTTTCAAATAAAATCGACCAGTTTTTATTATTGCTATCATAATAACTTGAATAATTATTTGGTTGTATAATATATAAAAAGTTAGATGTCACGGTAACAACTGACACATGTTCTTGTTTGCTTTTATATAAAATAATTTGATATAATTTCGACGCAAAATTTCCTGTAAGAGCTATTCCAAGTTTTCCAATTGAAATATAAGCTCCGTTTTGTCTACAAATAACATTAATTATTATATGGAATATGAAAATGATAATTACAAAAAATAATAATAACAAAATAATAATAATAAAAAAATTCAATATAAAAACTTACAATTTAAATGCATGAACTGCTTTAGCTATTATAACTTCTGTTTTATTTGAAATTGTTTGAGTTAAAGTACGTGATGCATTTAATTTTTTAGAAACTTGTTTTGTCGAAGAACCACTATCTAATGTTTTAGCTTGTAATCCAAAAATAGCAGCTAAATTTGAGCTAGAAAATATTTATTTATTTATATGTATATATATATATATATATATATATATATGTGTGTGTGTGTGTGTGTGTATGCCTATTTATCATAATATTATCATTTTTTGCAATTATTAAGCAATATTAAAAATATATAAAAGTATTAAATAAAGATTAAAATAAATATAAAATATAACCTTACTTTAATTAATAATTTTTATATAAATATATTTTATATAGATACATTTTTTAACACCATATATATGATACATAACTAAAATTAATAATTTGTAAAAACATACCCTGCTGCTGGAAAAAAATCAGATTCATCATCATCGCGTAAAATTTTATCAAGATTTGGTATTTGATTTCCTACATTCATGTTTGAGTTAAATTTTTTAGGCGAAAAATTTTTTTTTAACACTAAAATAATAACAAAAATATAAATTTAAACTATTTATAAATACAAACACTTAGTAAATGACAGTTTGTTACTTATACAAACTAAGTAGATAAACAATACTTACTCACATGATTGATAAAATCACTGATAGATGGCGCGATAAATTTTGTTAATAGAAAAGAGCTTGATAAAATAGAAAATATTAAAGTATAGAAATTTATTATAAAAAATGTGAAATACAAAATAAAAAAAAATATATAAATAATCGTAATATTAAATTGTTTTACATTTTATTCAATTTAGATTATACTAAAATTTATATAATGAATATTAAATATATTATCATTATCATATAATTATAGACAAAAAACGAGTTAGACGTGACATCTTACGAGATTATGCATATTACGTGTTCTGAAATTGACATCACGAAAGACATGTCAATGTTTTTTTGTGCAACAAACATGTGCATCATAATCTAAATATAGATGTAAGATTAAATCATTCAAAAAATATAAAGTAAATATCTTTTTAATATTTATGTAAATATCTATGTTCAAAAAAATCTATTCAAGATTCATATAATATAGGATACTAGAAAGCCTTGATAAATATAGAAAAATTCGATTTAGATATAAGAAAGATTCGTTTCTAAGATTATAATCATCATTTTTTATTTTATATTAATATCATGATTGACTGACTATTGATTTCTCGATATTTACAGATGTTAATTTCATTCCTACACATGCTTGGTCATTTTTTACGAATTCTCTCAAAAATTCCAAATTATCTCTGAAAAATATATTCATACTTGCAGTCAATTAGCCAATATTATGTTTTATAAAATATATAATTATATATAAATATATAAATAATTATATAATATACTATTGAAATTATCTATATCTTATATGGTATATAATTATACATTATATTATATTAAATAATAATAATAATAATAAGGTTCGTTGCTTGTTAATAATGATTTCATTGCTTGAGATTGCTCGCGAAAATTTATTTATTTTCAAATAAATTTTTTTTTTTGTTGTATATTCAACTTTTGATCTTTGTGCAACATAAACAGCAAAAGCTATAAAAAAAAAACCAAAGCAGAATTAAACTTAAAAATAAAATTTAAATTAATCTAAAAAAATTTTATCAATTCTATTTTATATTTCTATTATAAATAAATAAAAAAAGATAATTAACGTTAAAAAAAAAAAAAGAAAAGAAAATGAACAAAATAAATTTCCTATAAAATATTATTTTATATTACTTTGTTCATCAACCATCTATTTATTTACAATATATTACTTTATCTATATATTTAATAAACAATATCCTTTATGTATGTAATTAGTTCTAAATATTGGAAAAATGTAATTGGCAACAATCGAATGTTTGAATTACGAAAATACGCAAGATTAGAAATCTTATTAGACATTACTTTTTTAATGTCCAAAAATCTATTTTTTCACACCTTAAAAGTTCTTTTAATGATAATTGCAGAGAGGCATATGGCAATGTTTTGGCTATAGATATGGCCAAAACTGCAGCTTGTTTATGTATCTAGTCTATCTATCTATCTACTTATCTAAAGTATAAGTATCTAGTACAAAGATCGATGATCGTTGAAGCGTGCTTATTAAAAAAATGTGCTTATTAAAAATTAAAAAACGTATTTCCTTACATTATGGGAGAATCCGCAATAATTTAATTGTCCCTACATATATTTTATATAATCAATATTTTTCTATAATGAAATCTTTTACTCTGAAATGAAATCTCTATAAAGAAAATAAATATAAACTTTAATACACATTAAAACATTTTAAACATCTTACCTATTCTAAAAATTCTTTTCATATTTCTAATTTCTACATATGAAAAATTAAATCGTTTATAAATCCTGCTTATTGCTTTGAAAATCTTTTCATAGAAACAATTTTTAAAGCATATGTAATACATAATAGAAAATGCAAATGATAATATAGAATGACTAATAAATGAAATCACATAACTATTAAGAATTTGATTGTTTAGAATGAGAAAATTTAGGGATGATAAGCAATTCATAGATCATCTTGCCTTGAAAAATATTGTTTTGAATGATATGATATGATTTATAAATCCAACTTATCAAAAAACTAAATCTTTCTTTGATCCTATTTTATCTATATCGTTGAATTTATATGTAAGTATATGTAAAGATACAATTCATATCTTGTATATTATGCGAATTGGATGTCACTGGATATGATCGCTGTTTTAGTTCTGTTTTGTCTTTTCCCTTTTTGAATCGCCATGAGATACGATATAGTGATCTCAGTGTACAACAAAAGCATCGGCATGATCCATATTTATATAACGTAGTTTATTCCTATTTCCTTTATTAAATATATTTTTTATTTTAATCATTTTACAATATATTTTCTAATAATAAACGTATAAAGTGTATGAATATATTAAATTGATCGTATTAAAATAAAACAATAATCTAGCTCAAATTTTATTTTAAAAATTCGTAATACGAATTAATAGTAATTCTATTGATTAAATAGACGAATAAAAAAGAAAATAAATTATTCCCATAAATGAAAATAATTATTAGTTACAATAATATTCAATAAATAATTGAACAAACGCATATTAAAAAAATAAAAATTATGAAATAACCACCATGTCGCATCTAAAGAAAAAAAAAAACCTTCTATCACAAATTTTTGCAACAGAATGACACTCCATATAGGTACTTATTTCGACGTATTGAATTACAAATTGGGAAAGGGATAATTCGACAAGTGAGAAATGTATCGAGCATGGTATCAATGCAAATTGTTTTTTGGAAAGACTTTTATAAATCATAATTTTCTGGAAAAATTATATTATAAGAAATGTTTTTGGCTTTCGAATATAAAATCAAAACAAATACAGAAATAATAACATACAAATTGAACATACACATTTAGGAAAGAAATGTGTGTGTGTGTGTGTGTGTGTGTGTGTGTGTATTTGTATATGAATTGATTGTATTAATATTGTTTTAATTTAAATCTTTATAAGCATAAAAATAAACAAATTTATAGTAACTATGTTTTTTGTCAAAATAAATAAAAAAACTTACCACATCTGAATGAAAATCGGATTATTATAGTAATTAATTATAATCTTAATTATAATGATGTGTTCAAGAACTATCACACTTTCAAAACCATCCTGTCTTCAAAGTAATTAAATCTACACTTTCAATTCTGGTATAATAATTAAAAAAATTCGTATTAATTAAAAAAAAAGTTTAATAATCTATAATTAAGCTTAATGATCGTAATACAATACTTTATCGATACAAATTTTACATAATTATGTACGGTGAAATGCGACCTGTCACTACGATTTTCAACTGTAAACCAATGCTATGCGCACTATGATGCGCATTGATTCGTATCGTTAGAAGCTTTTTGATTGGTTGGAGTAATACAATACGTTATTCACTTCAACTATTTAAGAAAATAGATATATTATATTTTAATTGCAGATTGTTATTATATTGAAATCTTATAAAAACATTTAAAAATCAATTAGAAAAATAATAATTATAGATTATTATTTTAATTTTACTTAATTTTATAATATTATAATATTCTAAAATAATATATAGAATATTAATAAAAATTTAATAGATTATATTAAGAATTATTTTACCAATAAATATTATTTAGTAATCAATTGTTTGTTGTCATAATCATCTAAAGTATATATGTACAAGAATGATCAAAACAAATATAGACTTTTGTATTTTGTTTATTTTAAATGTTTTGATGTATAATAAAATCAGATTTTAATCATTATTGATCGGATCGATACCAATACTATTGATAATATTTAAATAATTCGATATCAAAATACAAAATATAATATCGATACTTAATAGAAAGTATCGATAATAACAAAATTTTAAATACTTAATATTATTTTTCTAATACTACATTTATAAATTTGATATTGATGTTGGTACTACTATCATTAATTATTTTCTATCGATAACATAGCACGTAACAAAAAAATAATGAGGGAATTAAAAGGAATATATATAAGGGATAATAAGGGAATTTTTGAATTTTTACAAAAAATGATACAAAAAAAAAAAACATTGTATGTCATTTTTTATTTTATATCTCGTTTATATATATTATAATATACAATACCAATCAAATTTGCTCTTAGCAAATTTTTCTAAAGATCCTGATATTAAAGTTTATCGTTAGAAAGGCAACAGATTTGATATAGGATTTGTTATAATTGGATTTATTACAAAATTGATTTCGGAAATATAACAGATTTTGCAAAAAGTTAATTCATGTAAAAAATATTCAAGTTTTGTTTGAATAAATAATTGCAGACTGATAGCAGAAACGTGATTTGCACTATATAATTTGGCAAATATAATAAAAATGCAGCATTTCTGGTATTAATCTATTATGCGAGTGAGACAAGATTAAATGATAAAATTGAGTGCAAATGACGACAAATGCATATGTTTGATGTCAAATTATTTCTTCTAATTTCAATCTGCTATCAATTTTTTATTAATAATATATATATATAATGAAACTATACATTTGATAGAGTAACATAAAAAATATATTTAATGCTTTATAAATATATTTATTATAATCACAATTATAAACATATAATTTTTTATATACTATATTTCCTCACGAATATTTTCAAATAAACTAAAAATTTTTATTTTATTTACTAAATATTCTCCTATTCAATTCATTATTCTATTTTTTAATCCAATCAGAAAACTTTTATAAATTAAATTTAAATTAAAATGCTTAAAAAAGAAATTGCATTATCATCATTTCATTTACTATAAAATTTAATATAAATATATAAAATATAACAAATAGAAGAAAAGAAAATGTAACGAATTATTCTTTCTATTTCTTCTTTTTTTTATCTTTTGAAAAATTTTATTAAAATTTACATATTTTTTCTTGAAAGAAAAGGAAAGGAAAGGAGAGAAAGAGAAAAAAAGAGAGAAAAGCTCTGTTAAAGAAATACATACAATATGAGACAAATATTGTACATATGATATAACATATATACATATATTATTACTATATATATCTTATTACATTTATAATTGATTATTTTAGTTCAAAAGTATAATGCACTCCTTTTCCTGGATATTGTTTTTCCATCTAAAACAATATACTATATATATATTACATGTAATATATATTCATTATATATTCAATAAAAACATAAAGTTATAATATCCTACATAAAAATATAATTACTTACCAAAGGTTGACTTATATTACACGAAAAGTAAAAAATTATTACAAAAACAGCCATAATAGCACAAAAAATTGCAATAGCCTTATTTGGATCAACAATTTGACGAACACCATATTCATAGCGGTCTCCAAATAACATATTTGATTCTTTATGATACTATATACAAAATAATATATTATATTGTATAGTATATAATTATATAAATAATTGAATTACTTGAGAATATTATTTATTAGCTATAAGATATTATTTCATAATATATTTACTTACTGGTTCCTCAAAATTTTTTTTTAATGCAGGAATATCCCAAGGATAAAATGAATCTTTAGCCTCTACACTTATAAATGGTAAATCTGGATAGTCTCCTGCATAATTAGTGTCTGGATTACAAGGTTTATATTCATCAGGATGCAAACCATATTTTTCTGCAGCTGCTATCATTTCTTCTTTTGTTTTTGGATATAAGCCTGGCATATATTTTTTCTGAGAAACAGCTAAAAAATATAAAAAAATATTAATTATATTTATACATAAAAATATAATATTATTAATAATTTATTAAATTCATTTCTTAATTATTTTGGATAACTCTTATATAAGATATATATTTAATCTATATAAAGTATAAAATGAAATAACCTCTTTACACATAAATACATTACTTACACAACTCATTTTGTAAAAGTTCTTCGTATGGCGTATCAACAATTTTTTCATATTTTCTAATGAAAGACGTAAACGTTATATTTCTCACAAATAATTTTTTTGACAGACTTACAGTCGTCTTTAACGCAGCCATTTTTAAGTAAAAATTATTTACTTCATGGATAGTATAATTACAATTAAGTCGATAGTGAAAAACTATCGATAATTATCACAAATTTTTAACAATCGATAGTTTATCTCGTTTAAACTCGTTCTATAATCAGAAATTATCGATAGTTTCAAATGTTATCGATAGTTTTTTTTATCGATACTAATGTGAATATATAGAAATAATGTAAAGAAAATGATCGATATCATATATTGATCGACTATAATAAAATTGATGTAAGTTTTTATTATTCTTTTCATTTTAAATAGTAAAAAATTATAGCTAAAATCAAATTTTTATTTACTTTTTATTATTATATTTTTCTATAATAAAACAAATTTGGAAATATAATATGCGCAAATATAAATTTTCGTAAAATTTTAATTTCCATTAATAATTTTTGAAAACATAGAATAACATAGAATATTTATATTTAATAAAAANATATGATATAATCTTGTAATGATGTATTTATCTTTGTTGTATTTGTTTATTATACATACATACATACATACATTATGTACATAATTATTATATATCTTATTTTTTCGAAATTAAAATATATCTTATTCTTATTAGATGCAAATATTATTATATAAAAAAATATTAATTTAATAATATATACCTAATATATTATTATATCATAATATTATTAAAATACATAAATTTAAGAAATAATAGAATATATCTTACCATATTTAATTTTATTTTTTTTATTCATTATCCTTATTAGTTTTTTTAATTAGTTTTTTTAAATATTGGATAAGTATCTATCTATACATTCAATGATTTAGAAATATCACATGATTTATGTAAATGCTTTTTTCTGAAGATTACTATAGTTATTTTATATCACATTTGATGTTAAAAACATAGATTCTGAAGATTTTGTAAATAAAATCAACTTAATTAAAATTTTATATAAAAATTTTGATGAAATTTTATTTAAAAAATGTGTTTTAAGCTGATCACATTAATCTTTGAAATTGTTGTTTAAGAACATTATTTTAAGCAACTTTTTTCTATAGTTTTTTTTTTACATATATCTGAAGTTTTCGAATTATACACCAAAATATTTTTCAAACTATACGCATATATTTTAGTTTAGATCAATTTAGATTTATATTTGATTTTAGTTTGATCTGTTATATTTACTTTTTTTATTTCATTAATTCATATTGCAACAATAAATATATATTATTATATTACATTTACACATTTATGTCTTAGCAATAATATATATTTATAAAATATCAAATTGATATTCAATTATCTGTGAATATTTATTATTATTCAAACATGTTTTTCATGAATTGGATACATATGTGAAAAAAATTCAGAAGTAAAATATAGATTTTTTTTAAGAAAAAGAACATATATAAATGCATTTTATTTTTTTAAGATTATTAAAATTCTTTAATATTTCTTTTTTATCAATTTTATATTTAAAAAGATATTTAAAAAGTCTGTTTTTCTTTTCTTGAAAAAATACTTGTCACATTTTTATCTACTCCAGTTAACAAATAATAATATATAGAATAATAATAATAGAAGAAATAAGAATAGAAGAAATAAGAATAAGTACATAAAATGTTATATTTTAATTAATTGGTACTGATTGATAAATAAAAATGTGATTATCATAAGATAGTCATAAGATATTATTTATGCCAGAATATATAATAATACATAATATGATAAATAATTTGAAAGTTGAAATTGATTATCAGATATATGTCTGAAAAAAATTTGTTTAAAATGAAATTCTTAACATAATATATTTTAAGATCAGTGAGAATATCTTTTCAACAAATTGATTTGATTTTCCAAATAATCTGACAAAATTACAAACTATATATTTTTTTTTGATAACTATATCATATTAGATATTTATATTTTAAAATATTTATGATAATAAAAATAACAAATATATAAGTAATAATTATTTGTATTTTTTAAAGCATATAAATAAGAAATGAATATTAACTTATAATTTATTATATATTTCAGGTACCGAATTTCATATTTTCATTCAATTTGAAAGTATTTCAAAAATTATTTCAATAATCTCTATCACAGCAACAGAATTATTTATTAATTCTACAACAAATACAATCTTTTATGGGACAATAGACAAAAATAAAATTTAATAGATGCTATCTTGTTGAATTATTTCTTATAAATAAATACATATATATAAATAAATTAAATATAACTAAAAATAACTATGATTATAACTATTATATAATTAAAAAAATATTTTTAAAACTAATAAATTAAAAACAGAATATGTAATTAGTTTATTTGTGTGCATTAGTATTTTAATCAAATGAAAAATAAATATGTAGTTTCAAAACATTGCTAATTCAATAAGGTAAATAACATTAATTTTTATTAACTATTTAACGCATTCATTATACAAAATGAATTCGATTTTTCTCAGCGACATTCAAGAAAATAACTGATTATAATTCGATTATAATTCTCATAATTCTTCAATGACAATAACAGTACAAAATCTACCTATCTTTTAAAGAAATTCTGAAAAATTATTTGATAATGATCTGAATATTACATATTTGTAACTTAAAAAGATTTATTTAAAATATTTTTAATGACAGTTTCTAAATCAGCGGTTTTAAAAAGATTAACCAATTGATCAGCAATTTGATAATTGCAAGCTGCTATAACTCTTGGTGTTATTAAATCTAATTCTCCACCTATAATTATATTGTTATTAAAATTTCTTAAAAAATAATTATTTTCTTAAATTTAATATAATATATATAATAATATATAATAATATATATAATATATATATAATATAATATAATATAATATATATAATATATATATAATATATTATATATAATAATATATAATAATATATAATATAATTCTTAATAAATATAATTTTTTTGAAAAATATACATACCTGCAGTATCTATTACCGTGCCTCCTGCTTCTTCTATTATTAATTTTCCTGCAGCAACATCCCAAGCATCTATACTTTCAACATGATATGCTTCAATTGCACCCATTGCAACATAACACAATGTAAGTGCAGCCGTGCCCAATGATCTTATACTAAATAATTATTAAATATAAAATAAAAGATTATACAAATTTTTGTTAAAATTTTTATTTTTAAAAATAAATAATTACCCATGAGTTCTTTGAATTAAAGCATGCATTCTAGTGTATATATTAACTAAATAATTTGGATTTTTGGCAATCCATGGTTCCATTGCTATCAATGATTCAGATAAATCTGAAGAATAATAATAAAAATATTAAATTTTAAAATACTTATGTGTCAGAAAAATAAAAGACCAATGAAATAATATATTTTTATTAAAATTATTTGTTTTGTAAAAATTTAAGAATAAAAAATAATTTTCCATCAAAATTTCATTTATAGAATACAATAGAATATGTTCAGAAATAATTTAAACATCTTTATTATTTTTATATTTATGAATTTATGAATGTTGAAATTTATTTATTTATAATATAATGCCTATTTAAATGAACTGTTAATACCTGTTATTTTTGATGTTTTTATACGATGACCATTTAAAAAAGCTCCTTTCTGTCTTTTTGCAGAAAAAAATTGCATCATTAAAGGATTATAGACTATTCCAATTTCTATTGATTTATTTATTATTAATGCTAAAGAAATGCACGTGTGTGGAAACTGATGAACAAAATTTGTTGTACCATCTATGGGATCTATAATCCATGTTGGTTCATCGGTTAATTTTGGTAAACAATTTTTTTCTGCAGTCGTTTCTTCACCAATAAATCTGAAAATGAATTTTTTTTATCGGCCACTATATTATATTTTTTAATGATTTTTTTAATATTACATCATATTTATATGATATTTATACATACCTGTGATTCGGATATTTGTTTAACAATTCTTTCTGTAAATCATTTTCTATCTTTCGATCATATTCTGTAACAAGATCCCAATCAATTCCTTTACTTTTTACATTTTTATTTAAATTGATGGCACTTTTTATTATCTAGAAGCAAATATATAATTTTTTTCGAATAATATATAATACTTTATTACATATAAAAAAACTCACGGAACAATTACAAAGATATTTCTTCTGAAAAATTTTGATACATTACACATTACTTGAAATTCAAGCAGATTTTTATTTCATATTTATTAAAAATCAATCAGTATAAAAATATATTTATGCTTTCGAAGAAATTTGTAATTCTTTGTTTAAAGAAATAAAAAAATTCTATTTTTTAAATTTAATTATTTATTATACATAATTGTCTAAAATTTAAATTAAATTAAGGTTTAAAAATTTTGCGTAAATATTTAAATAATTTACATTATTTCATATTTCAAATTTTTATAAAATTAATATTAAATTGTATATTAAATAATAAAATTAAAATTGTTTAATATCTTTAATACGTATAAAATTCTATTGGATTTTTTTTAATAATTTAATATTTTCAAAAATTCATATATTATACTGTTAAATTTTTTAATTCTATTTCTTAAAAATCATTATTATTTTTTTTCAATAATAATAATAAAAAAAAATGTGATTTTACAAAGTAAGAAAGAAAGAAAGAAAGAAAGAAAGAGATAATTTTGAAGAAATAAAAAATTTTGCTTATTAGAAATTAAACGATGACTTAATCATCTAAATTGAAATCAATATTGATTAGTTTGTTAAAAAAGTGTCATGTCTAAAAAATCATCAGTTTTGAAATATTTGGAAAAAAATAACCATAAAAATTAACTTTTAGACATTACTTGTATCATGATTATAAAATAATTAAATTTTATGTTGAATCAATAAAATTATTAAATTTTATGTTGAATTAATGAGAATAAATAGAGACACAATTTAAAATAAATTTTAAATTTAATTTTTAAAAAGCAGTATATATAAACAATAATAAGGTTATATATAATCATTGCTATGAGATTAATCGATAATAATCGAGTTATAATAAATTGTTTATTTTTTTTTCAATTGTTTCCATTATTTAGTATATATCTCAACAAAGATGTTGGTAAAAACTTTCAAATTCAAAATCCATATTGAGAAAGCAATCTATCTTTTAAAAACTTGACTATTTTTCAAACCAATTTTCTGAAAAATTTCGAAAAAAAATTTTTTTTTATTTTTTTTTAGTTTTAGTTTTTTTAGCTCTTTCTTTAACAAACTGATTATAACACTAATTATAACATATACTCATAAGTACTTTGCCTGCTTTCAAAACTAATTCCTCAGCGACTTTATAATATTCTTCTATGTCATGTGAATTAGTCATACTTAATATTTATACTTTTTTTACTAATAATTGCAAGTACAATGGCCGTTTGAAATTCTTTCTCTACTTTACACGTGAGATTGATTAATACTGACATCGATGAAACATCGACCGGCCTATATAACTACTAGAATGGAAAAAAGAGAAAAGAGTGGGGCAAAAGAGGAATAGGTGGGAGTAAAAATCTGTAATGTTTAAGTTTAAAGTCTGTTATGCACTGTCGACTAATTACGTACTAATACAATGATTATTTACGTACAAAGTTGGTATTAACGAATCGTTGACGATTAAAAAGTATGAGTGATATACGAGTAATATATACTTTAGTTGGAATCGAACGAAGCGTTTAAACAACGAACAATTTTTATGCAGAGCAGAAGCTTTTTGTTCATGCACGATAACATGAGTTCTAACATAAAAATATTTATTTATAAAAGTTGAATCTCGATAGGCAATATCTAATAATTACGTCAAGTGCTTTAAAATATTTTTATACGAACGTTTTTCTTTCTACATGATGTTTTTACTATAAAGAAATGTTTCTAATATAATTTTTTTTTGTTTTTTTTTATAATTATAATAATCTTTTTAATATTCAATCCATTTTGTACGAAAATCTTTGCTAAATATTAATAATTTTTAATCATCATAGAATTTGATCTTCATTAGTTTTTAATCTCTTGGCTACAAATTTAATCTATGATCTGTGATATTGTTAAAAAATATGTCATTTTTGTAAATGGTTTTTCTTCTTTTGAATTAGTGGGTAATTTTCTATTCTTAATTTAATTATTTGAAAATAACTTTTTAGTAAATAATTTTTAAAAAAATAGTTGTTTAATATTATATTTTTGAATTTGTTGTAAACATTGGAGTCGTTGAAAATAAAATTTTTTAATATAATATATTATAATATAATATAATATTATAATATAATATAATATTATTTAATATAATATATTTTTTAATGTATTTTTTTGAAATATAAAAAAAAAAAGAATATATATGATTCAATTTAAAGAAAAATATTTGAATTCCAATTGAATTTTTACTAGAAATTTTTGATGCTTAAAAATGTACGTAAACAGATTGAAAATGCAATACATGCATTAATTATATCGTTTGATTATTCATAAAGAGCTCACTTTTAATAAAATATTTGAGTTTTTCTAAATACAATATATATGAAAATATTTAAACGATTAGCATACTACAGTTTTGTACATAAATATAATTATAATTAATTATATAAATGTAATTATATGTAAATGTAAACAATATATACATATATTATAAATTGATTTTGACATTAAATCTTAATATCGTTTAATAGTCAGAAACAATTATTTGTTTTTTATAATTTTTAGCAATTACTAATTTTCTTATAATAATAAGTTATAAAAATCGTGTATACACGAATACGAATCGATTTTTTAATGAAAGATTTAAACTCGTGTATGCAAATATATTATTTATAATATAATAATGTAATAATATATTTCTGAAGAGATTTTACTGCTGTACTTTGTATAGTAGTGTTTTGTAATTATCGATTTTATTATTCCGTATGAATAAAACGTTCGTAGTTTTCGTAAGAATTCCATTACGAAATTTTCCTTGGGTTATTTCAATGAATGTTTCCAATTGTTTCCTTTTAAAAGGAAATCTTAGAAATATTGAGACAATCTTTTAAAAATAAAATATATTTTTATTCAGATTCCATTTTTGTTAATTTTCTATAAAACTATACATTATTCACGCAAATATTTATAGTTTTTTTATTATTCATTTCAATTATAAAATACGAAACATTTTCTCTCTTTTTTAATATCTTTATTCTCTCCAAATTTTATCCTATATTTTTAATATATAGTATATTTTTAGTATATAGTATTCTTACTTCGAATTTTAAATATATAATAGTACTAAAAAATATTATTAATAAAAATTAATCATATTATAATTACTACAAAAATTATTTTTTTATTTTACTTTTTGATCAGCTTCACGTATAAGTTTGACCATCTTGTTCGCGATTTCTTCATTACATGCTCCAATTGCACGTGGTTTCATAATATCAATCTTTTCACCTGTAATACATATCATAGTTGGTATAAAATCAGTTGATATATTATACATATATAATGATAACGTCGATTATATACATTGGATTATACATAATTTGTAGTTACATAAATTACAATCGTCAAATTTAAGATATCGCATATGATTAAAGTAACGCACAATTTTATCATATACGCATATAACATATATGAAGATATGAATTCAGATGCGAAGCCCAGAAAAATTAAATTTAATGAAATTTTCTAAAATTAATTAATATTTTCTATATTTTCGTGAAATATTATTATTTATAAATAATAATTTTTATATTATTTTTATATCATAATTCCAAAATATCGATCGGAATCATTATTCAATGATCTAATTTAAGTAATATTATAATATATTTATAATATATATTATTAATATATATAATAATATATTATTATTAATATTTATTAATATATATACATAATATATATGCGATTTGAACGAAAAATTTTTTAGTCTTTAGTTAATTCATCAAGTTCAAATGTCGCTCATTAGCAAACTTTGAACGTAGTGCGGCACAACAAAAGCGCTTCGGGCAACTTATAATACATAATATAATGCATAATTCTGAACTGCTGAAAAAAAGTCTCGCGGGACTGCACACGGTCTACAGAGACAAGAGGGGATCTTCGCTACGATTGTCTATTTCTTTTAAATGCTTTGTTGACAATCTTGACATTATATACTAAATAGTATTAGAAAAGCTATAATTTGAAGCTATAATTCAAAATGGTAAAAATTATTTTCATTTACAAAATTACGTTAGGATAATTATCCAAGATTGATAGCTGAAATATTTTCAAAACTATTAATTATATTTCGATGCAATATTAATATAACTAGTTTACTATGTCTAGCTTATTTTTATGCACACAATTATTATTTTAAAGATTTAAATACGAAATTACATTTATAAATTAAATTATTAATCTGTATATATATATTATGAAAAATAAAAAAATTTTTATATTATATCGATAGTTAGAATATCCTGAATTCTATGTTTATACTAATACATCTATATTTAGATACATATCATCATTTTATTGCCTCTCTTTGTCATAATCGGATTAGTATATAAAAACAAAAATGTATGAAAAAATAGATGTTTCCTCCCACATTAAGCAATTAGATTTGCATTCTTTCCACGAGATTTTTTTCCATTAGTACTTACATTATATTTTTTTACGTTAACAAAAGATACATATAGCATTACCTGTTACACGATCGACAACGATACCACCCGCTTCTGAAATGATCAATGATGCTGCGGCGATATCCCACGTTGAAATGCCTGGTCCCTCGATATAATAAGCATCGACAATTCCCATTGCAATATAACATAACGATAATGCAGCTACGCCAAGTGTACGAATGCTATTGAAAACAAATTTAAATATATATGAAAATCATACGCATAGATATAAAATAACAATTTTATATTGAATTACGAGCATATTATATATATGTATATTATACATAAAATAAAAGTAAAATTTATTCAATTAATAATTATTTTAAAAATAATCCTGAATTTTTATATTAAATCTTTCTATGTATGCGTGTGCGTATGTATGGTATGGCAAAAATAATAAATTTAAGTTGACCAAGAGATAAATTCATAAAACTTAATTATATTTTCGAATAAATAAATACATATAAAGATATCAAATTAACAAATGCAATAACGAAAGTCTTACCCTTGAACTTCTTGGACAATTGTTCGTAATCTTTCTATAGTCTTTTCTCTCATATAATCTATTTTTATAAAACCACTTTCCATGCAGACTAAAGCTTTCGATAAATCTATGAAAATATCAATTTTTTTTAAATATTGAAATATAAATTATATATGTTATAATTTTTTTTTAAAGAATTGAATAAAATTGAAAAAAACATCAAATTTTATATTTATATACTTTTATATTATATATTATTCTAGCGTCATTATATACCGAAAATGAAAAAATGTAGTAAACGTATGATGTTCATTTCTGTTTTCTATATGTAATATAGAATATATTTTGTATTATATGTAATATAAACATATTATATACATATAAATATTTTTTAAGAAAAGCTAACAAATTTTTACAATTGATCACAAAATCATTTCATTATATTATATAAATAAAGTAAAGTCAAAGAAATTAAAATATTAATTGATAATTATAAAATTAAATTAATTTTCAAACCATGATTTTTTTAACAAATTTATATCTTTACATTTATTTCTGATACAAATTTGATTTATAAAATCAAAGATCACTTCGGCATTTAATCGTATCGATATATCTTATATTTATTGCAATACATCGATAATTCGAAATCCTCTGTAAGATTATAATTTTCTTCCTTTTCGCTTTGTTGCGAAAATAAATCCAAGTTTATCACTAGAACTTCTAAATTATTAAGAACTTCTATTGTTACTGTCTTTGCAACTCCAAGTTCATAGTTGTGTTGATATAACGTCAGAAACTGATCCTTTTTTCATAAAATCTTATACCATATATGTATGGAAACTAATCATCGATCATATGAAATTCATGTTTAAAAATTAAGATTTCTTTTCTTTAAATTATTAAATTTAATTATATAGATATTAATCTTTATATAAAGTTTTTCGTTCGTTAAATCTCTTTTACTTGAAATTTATATAAAACTTGAAAACTTTACATCTTCCTACTTTGAGGTTCGAATCGAGATTTTATTATAATTTAAAACTTTTTAGATATGAATTTTTTTTTATTTACCTTGTACTTTAGAAACTCTTATAGGTTTATTATTTAAAAATGCCCCACGACCTTTTCTCGCTGTGAATAATTGTTCGAGAATAGGATTGTAAACAATACCGATCACCATTTCTTTTTTAATCGCCAAACCGATTACAATGCACGTATGAGGAAATGCATGAACGAAATTGGTAGTGCCGTCGATTGGATCAATGATCCATGTAGGATCATTGGTCAACTCTGGAAGTTCTTTTCCAACCGATTCTTCTCCTATAAATCTAAATATTTAACATATTCGAATGAATATAAATATCTATTATAGTGCAATGAAAGTTGTGAATTTAAAAATTTATTCTTTTTAAAGGAAACATTATATTTACTTGTGATCTGGAAATTTTGTTTTTAGTTGACCAATAATCAAATCTTCTATCTTTCGATCATATTCCGTTACTAAATCCCAATTCCCCAACTTTTCGTCGATTTTCTTTACACCATTGATGGCTTCTTTGAGTATCTTTGAAAAAAATTATAAAAATTCATTATTTATTTGATTAAAATATACGATTTGAAAGTATCAAGATACAATTATGAAGAAAAAATGAAATAAATAATATACATACGTGTCTCAAGATACACTTAGTTTTTAAAAAGAGAGAAGAAATAGATAGAAGATATAAGAAATTTTATAATTCAATTACAATATTTAATTTATTAAATAATATACGTTAATTTATTTTCAATTATTAATTATTTAAACATCACGTTTTTTTGTAATAATGTTCTAAAATATTCTAAAAATATTTAGGATCTTAAAGTAAGTAATTAATAATTTCTTTTAAAGAAACATTTCAAAATATTTAAAGATATATCTATGTGATTCTTGTAACGAATTATATTTAAATCAAAAATAAAATGATACCGATGTGTGTACGAGATTGATTCTTGATTATATTTATAGAATACCGATATCTCAAGATTTGTTTAACAAAATCAACTGAAACTCATATTTTGCTCGACAACAATGTTTTTAATATTTATCCTATTAATATATGATTCTAGATGGTTAATAATACGTGTAGACGATTAATAATATTTATCACGTGTTGCATAAAGCTATTAAAGATTTGAATGTAAATAATATAAAAAAAATCATATTATGTAAAACGCTCGTTAAAAAATGTTAAAATGATAAAACTACGATAAAACTATTAAGTTCTTATCGAAATAAAAAATATTTATTTACATTAAATATTACTCTTGAGATAAAGTAAGTTTCAAATTTTTCATATTTTTGTTTTTAATAATTACTAATTTATCTTATCACAGTTAAAATTAATTGTTTTCTTTTATTTGAAATTTAATTCACTTAATTTTGTTGGCAAAAAATTTGAATTCTAAAAATATATTTTATTTATTTTTATTTGCAAAAAAATTAAATACGTGGAAAACAATTTTAGTTACAAAACTTGAAAGATCTTTAATATAGGACGTAAGAAATGTGCATCATTTTGATTCGTAGTAATCATCGTCTCTATAAATATTCTGCTTTTTCTATTTTCCATTTTTTATACATCGAATATCATCATATCGATCTTATTATTTTTAAAAATAATACTGTTATTAACATTCAAAATAATTAAAAAATCATATATATATATATATATATATATATACATTAAATATAAAAAATATAATTTGTATTCAATTTTACGATATTTTCATTTAAATTTATATCAATAAATAAATAAATAAATGATAAGATAAATAATGTCATCAATTTTATATTATATAAATATAAAATACACAAATTATAATTTAATATTATAAAATATAAAATATAAATTAAAATAAAATTAGTTTAAATCTAATTCACCCTATTATTATATTATATGATCATTTATATTACATTAAGAAGATTCGAAGATTAACCGATGATATTCCAGTATTTTATACCTTACATCTATCAACTCAATATGTGTGTGTGTGTGTGTGTATGTGCGCTCTGTGTGCGCGTGTGCTTACGTGAGCAGCATCATGAGTCAATTTGATTGCGAATTCGTAGTAAAAATCTTCCGCGTAGGATGCCATCTCTTGTTCAGGTTTCCTGATCAATTGTAAATACGAGATTCTTGACGTGAAAACGTATCAAGAGGTACTGCGTCGAGTGCAACCGTACCGCCTACTTTTTATTCATATCGACTTGGAACGTGAAGTAAAAAGAAACAATTCAAAGATGATTAAATCTATCGATTCGTCCTCTACTAAATTGTAGGTATTCACTATGATTTTGAATCATAGTATTTTCATATTGTTGACATACAGAGATAGACAAATTTTTCAAAAAATATTCCGAGATAATAATGTTTACATATGTATTACACATATACATATATTAGATGCTTTAACGTACAATTAATTTAGCAAATAGATATTTGCATGGAAATTAGAATGGAAGATAACTTCTTAAGCGTTTGGAACAATTGGAGCAAAAATAAAATCTCAAAATAATATCATCATTTGACTTGTTAATAATATTAATATTTTTTCCTTTTTTTTTTCTTTCCTATAATTACTATCTTTAATTACTATATAATTATATTGTACAAAGTATACAAATAAATAGATTGTTATAAATTTTTGCAAATTAAAATGTAATTTCAATATTTTCATATGTTACATGTATATATTTTCTTTTAAAGTTAATGTATGTATATATAATTGGTGGAAATTATGAATAATACATATATAAATACATATAATAATATGTATATATACATAACAATACAAATCGTTTTATAGTAATTTATAATAATTTAAATTCTAATAATTTTAAATTATATTTTATCAAATTTAGAAAAATTTAACGAAATATTTTAATTTAAAAATATTTCGTATTCAATGTTATTCTTATAACTAGCGTACTTTTATCTCTATAAATTATATATAATTGTAATATATAATATAATATAATAATATATAATTGTAAAATATAGAGAATATGAAATATTTGAAAAAAAAAAATCTAATATGACAATATTCATAATAGAATTTTATAAAATCATTTTTAGTTTGATATTTTTTTATATTAAAAATTTCATTTTGTGGAACATGATTCATTATATAGAATTAGAAATTCATTATATAGAACGTAATATTATAATTTCCATCTTCAGAATCATTAGAATCTTTATTATAAAGATATTCATACAAACTTGTTATTCAGGATAATATCATATTCTCAGATATCATTTCGTACAATGAGATCATTATGAAAGAACAGAGATTGTTATCGGTATATAAATTTATATTCTTAATTTGCCAGATGATTTTACTGCAATATGATAAACAAACGAGACATATAAAGACGTATAAAATATATGGTACGAAAGATTGTGTCAAGGTAATTTTTATTCGATTATACTTTCACACTGTGCTGATCAATTTTAACGGATAACTTGAAACACGTTATCATTTATGTATTTTACAATTCATAGATATTTTAAATATTTAATTTTCATTTATGGGAATTTATATTTAATAATTATTAATATATTATCATTAATTGCTTATATATAATATATTATATTACGTATTCGAAAAAGATTTAATAAAATATTAGATTTTTATATATTTTTTTACATAATTTTTAAATGCAATTAAATTTTAATGCAATTATATTTAATTATAGAAATTTGCATTTACGGAGATATGCATCGATATTAATTAACCAAAAAATACTATACATACAGTATATAATTATTACGATTTTATATATAATTATATGATATTATGAATTATATAAATATATTTAAAATTAAACAATTAAATTATGAAAAAGAACATTATGATATATAGAATAAACTTTTTATAAGCATTAATAAAAATTATATAATATTTTGAATTTTATTCTTAATTGTATTGCATAATATAATTGAATAATATTGAATATTTTTGTTAAATAATTATATATTCAATTTTTAATCATTTAATCAATTTTTTTAACGATTATAAACAAATTAATAAAAATACGATCTTTATGATCGTTGTTCGTTGCATAAAATTCAAGTATTATTATTCAATTTTTTATTATTTTCAATATTCATTCGATCGTAAAATTTTGCTAATTCGAATCATAATTTGAGATATCTATAAAGCACCGTGATCACACTTCTTCGATCAACCTTGAATTATTTTTTCGCGTTTCTCTAAGAATCTAACAACTGTATACATTATATAATGTCCTATTCCGAACAGGATATTTACTTACATCTATACCTGTGAATCATGATCAAAGATTTACCTTAATCTATAATATTATTTTTATACTTTTTTTTTTTGCGGATTTTATTATCATATAATATATCTAATTATTCTTCAGTGAATAATTAGATGCATTGTTTATCGTTATAATTCTCTTAGAATTTATATTTTTTATTTCAATGAATTTTACTATAAAATAAAATAATTAATTTTAAAATTATATTCATTATAGTATAGTATAATATCATAATAATATCATAAAAGATCGTTTACGAAATATTTTAATAGAAATAAAACATAAATAATATATTTTAAACATATTTAAAATATAGTATACGTAAAATAGAAGATATCAATTGTAATTATAATATCGTAAATAAAACAAGATATATTTAAATAAAGAATAATATATAGACAATTATAAAATAGAATCTTGTTTTCCTGCAATAGATGTATTTACCTTCATTTATCGTTATTTTTATTTTCTAAAAAATCGTTAAAAAAAACGACAACGCCACTCCTATCTCTTGTATCACACACACATCTAATCCACAAGCTCTTATCTCTTTTTCTTTCTCTCGCATGCTTACAATATCTCACTCTTTCATTCATTCTATACGATCACTCACTCCTTATACACATTATATCACTTTTTTTTTATTTTTTCATATATTTAATGTAGCAACGAAATTTTATTTTACATTTTTTTTATTTTTTTTTTTAACATTCATCAAAATATTTAATTTTCCTTTACAATTATATCATTCATAATTTCATCGAAGTATGTAATTTTTCAAGTTTTCGAAATAAATTTTTTCATTTAATTTTATTCTTCATGTGCTTTATTCTTGAATATATATATAATTGTTCACAAATAATGTACATTATATATTATATAAATATATATATTATATATATTTACAATGTCATCAGCTTTTCGAATAATTAACACCGCTGCTGCAACGTTTCAAGGTTGAAGAACGTCCATATACGTACGTATATTTACAGGACAACTATATTCTTAACAATAATTATCATTTAAACCTTTTTTTTAGGTTCTTTTTCTTCTTCCATTCTAAATTTTCATTTGAAATCAAATTATTTTGTTCCATATCATAGAATTATTCTTAAATCTTTTCTTAATTTAGACTTTCCATAGTTTTTTTATATATTCGCAATTTCTATAAGCTTTACAAATCACTTTATTTACATTTCACTCTTAATATTTTCGATTGAAAAATCAATAATTTTTCATCAATAAATTTTCATTAATTCTTATTTAAATTATATTATTATAATCTTATTTAAATAATAAATGTGTATCATTTACAAAATATGTTAACAAATTATTAAATTATGAATAAAATAATTTTTTTAAAGATTTCCTTACTCATTTGCAATAAAATTTGTATAAATCATTTCAATTTTTTTTTTCATTTCATTTTCAACATTTAAAAAAACTCAATATTATCGTTCTCTATCTGCGAAGAGAAGAAAGAATCAATTGTTAAATAAATCTGTAATGAAGATACGTAATACTTTTATTTAGTATGTAACCAAAATATATATTACTCGAGCTCATTTTCTATTTGAAATTTAATCATGTCCTAGTCATTCTCTTTCGCATTGTTTTCAAATCGGTGTCAATGATCAATCTTTTTATTTCCATCGCTAATGCATCATTTCCTGCCGCAATTATTTTTCCATTCATGAAATTAAATTTTTCTTCTGCAAGAAATTTATTTTTCTTATTTACGCTAACTTACTCACGCTATGAAATTGTATAATGATAACACTAAGCGATATTCTTAAATTAAAAACAATAATAATATAATATATATATACAATATATAATAATATCGAATATTTAATAATATATATAATGTATAATAATATATATAATATAGTATACGTTGTTCTTAGAAATTCGATTAAACATTCGATATTACTTAGAAACATTAATATAAAATTCCGAACGTCACGCTTGACAACATCGGGAAAAATCAAGAATATAGGATGATACCAGCAGACCATGACGATATCTTCTCCTTTTCACTTATATAAGAATAACACTGTTCCAAAAATGGATAGAGAAAAGAAAAAACTCGAGACACTCTTAGAAAAAAGATACTACAGATATTAAACGCAACGACAGTCTTTTTTTTCATTTAGTTGCTTTCATACTTTGTTCCTTCACGCTCGATAAAGTTCAATTTATTTCTTACACGAACTTAAAAATATCAAATATCACTAAAGTATTATTAGCAAGTGTACATACGCGTTATAAAAATTACGGTTTCAAAAAGTTTGCATTTTTTTTTCTTAATTTTATCAACATACCTTTAATATCAATCACAGTGCCACCTGCTTCTCGAATAATTAATATCGCTGCCGCAACGTCCCAAGGTTGAAGACTGTCCATATGAACGCAATCTAACGCACCTTTTGCTACAAACGCTAGAGCCAATGCAGCCGATCCCATACTTCTAATTCTAAGTTTGTACAATTAACCAAATATTCGAATCGTTCAATGCATATTTTCGAAATATTGATAAAAAATTTTTGATATTTTTCGAATATATCGAATTTTGCATACGATGGATAAATTAAATTCAAAAATTTAATGCTTCCTCATAGATTACGATGGATTTAAAAATATCTCAAATCCAATGCCGAAGTTAAGGATTTTTAAAAACATTTAATACGTATATATATATATATATATATATATCATAAGGATAAAATAATTTTAAAAGTCCACAAGCAACTCATAATTTTAGATCATCAAGGACTTTTAACAAAGAAATAAAATTCGTCACGCGAAGACATCCATACGGATATCACAAATAGGAGAACGGATAAAAGAAATCAAAACAACGTTGTATAGAATTATTTTGCAATACCTTTCATGATAATAAAAATAATATAAGTATAAATAATAATATAAACAATAGTAATAAATATAAATAATAGTATTCAAACTTATATACTCACCCTCGTACAGAATTAATCAAAGCTTCAAACCTTCCCCATCTGATATCTCGATTTTTCGAAGAAAAGCCAAGCGAGTATAATTCGATCTCTACCAAAGATTTTTTCATTTCTGTAATCCATAACACAAAGAATATTTAATTTACATATTTATGTTATTCGTTTGGCGATTATTTATTATCTTTTTTTTTATTTTTACATCGAACGTACGATA